AAAAGAAGGTTTTTCGGCTTTTCGAAAAATAAATTCAAAATTTAGAGGACTCGTCGGTAATTTGGAAAAATGTATCAAATAAATAACCACCGGCAATTTTGTATTGCATGCGAGAAAAATTTGACTAATATTACACATACCTAACCTGATTTTAAAATGTAATTATCGAGTATCTTGAATTGCAATACTTTTTACATAAGTATATAATATCGAGTATCTAGAAAGGTATTCATTCTGAAGTGTTATGCCTATCTGAGTGCAATTATGTACAATTTTTACTTTTCCATGTTTCCTAGAAATACAAACGATCTAAGATCGAGAAAATTACATATTAAAATCAAATATTTTTTATTCTTCACTGCATTAGCTTAGAATGCCATAGTTTTATATCCGAAGCGTAGCGAAGGATCTATTGATTTTATCATGTGTGTGTTTGTTTTTTTTTCTGTTTGTGAACAACTTTTCTACCAGAACCCTTGCTCCGATGTATCAAATGTAGTACCTTTTCTAAAAGAAAATTGTGTATATTTGAGTACACTAAGAGAAGGTAATTTTTTGGTTTTCCAGGAATTTTTGTAATAGTTGGAAAAAACCGGAAAACAAATTATCGAAAAAACGGCAAATATTTACGCCGCGTCATTGGGTTACCGATTTCATTGATTTTTACAAATTATGTTTTCTGCCTAAAATATTGCTTTGTTTAAAAAATGTTAAGCGACCTGTTTTGTTGAATTTTGAGTTGAAGAGCTCGAAAAAAAAGTGGTTTTTTTTTTAATTTTCCAAGTAGTTTTCATAATTGTTGGGAAAACCAGAAACAAATGAAAAATGAAAACTGTCAAATTTACGGTGTTACGATTTCATGCGATATTAAATTGTTACGTGTCTCAAATCAATTTTGACGAAAATCGTAAAATTACGGCCTTTCAAAACTTATATAACTGAACTTCGTTTTTCCTTAACATTGGTTTATCGTTTACATGTATACATTTAATTACTTTATGTATCCAACCTTCTCAACTACTCACCTACAACAGTGGCACACCCGTCCCTAGTAACAACTTTTTTTTTTTTTAGTAAGAACGATTATCTACCACATCCGCCTCTTTATATTGCATTATTACGGAATACACTTTCGGCTGGATACATATAATATGTTGTTTTTTTTTATTTTGGTTCATTTAAAAGGAAAATTGGGGGAAGATGAATTAAGGTTGTTCTATAACGTCAAAGATCATTACCTATAAAAATAATAAACTGAAGTTATAATAGAATTTAGAATTAAAACGCCATCAACGGTATAATGTCTCCTCCGCTATATTTTCTTATTGATATGGTAAATTTACTATTAGATCATAATAATTGCCCGTTTATATTAAGAAAAATTATTATTGTTATTGGCATTATTATGAATTATAAGCACGCCTGCTCATTTTTATCGTCCCGTCATTTTCTATGCTATAAGTATTACACAATGGTGTAATTATATGAGCGGGGCGATAGCAGTATCCCTCTGCATTAATAAAGTATCGACCAAATAATAGTAAACACTATGAGTTGATAACACGTTTTCTATTATCCGTATATTTCACGTAATTTAGACAAAACGAATAATATAAAACCTATTTTTATTTTTTTAAATCGTCGGAACGTTTTTTTGAACGCGATTTTACGCAAACGAGTAAATTATTGTAAAAACTATATTAAGTAAAAATAAATTATTTTACCCTAAGTCGGTTAACGGCGTCAAATCGAGATGCTTAGGTTATAGGACATGGTATAGAGGTTTAATATTTTGTAAAAAAAAAAGTGATAAATAAACTCAATTATAATTTTATTATAATATGATAATATCTTAGACAATACGCGTCATTATCAGGCACTGGCAATCGCCAGACTGTGGGAAGGAACGCAACGGTCGGTTCGCATCTCACATCATAGTAGTTTTAGTTTTTTTTGCCGTTACATTCAGTTTTACTTCTTACATATACATATACATTGATTTTAAAAAATCTAAATAATATAATTATCTAAAAAATCATAAAACGCCGCGGCGGACCTCCTATGAGTGTGTATAATCCTCATTGAATTTTATCAGAACTCGAAGCGATTTGACATTGGGCGAAAATTTCTATGCCATTACCTTTTGGGTAATGGCAAATAAATCGTATTCAAATTAGATTTTAGGTAAAAATATTTAGGTGAAATCTTGAATGATGCGATAAATCATCGAAAACAAAATAGAATTCTATGTGGAGCCCGCTTAAACATTTTTTTCCTAAATCATATTTATACATTTTTTTTTTTTTATTATTATTATCAGTAAAAACAACTGTGTTAAAATAATTGTGTATGCCTTTTCCGAGTTTATTGACAGAGTCGAAACAATTGTATTCACAAAAATCTATGAAAAAAACTGTTAACGATAAAAAAAACATAGAACATTTCAAAGCTGCTTATGAATCGTTCTCGGAGACCACGCCGATTGCGGGTGGCCTAGGCATAGAAGTCGGGCGGATGCGACAGGAATACGATATAAAGGCGATGCGGATTTACCGCATTTACGACCAAAGGTCGTTTTTCCGAGGGCCGTAACGCCAAATTCTCACGACCCCGGACGTGACCATGTGCTTTTTCGATTAAACTGTACAATGTGTGCACCGTGTATTTTAATACACCTATATTTTTATAGATGCAAATTTCATCATGTAATATTTGTGCGTGAGTGTAGGTACAGGGCCGTGGATAAAGGAGTCGAGGCGACCGGTATACACGATGCATTTACACGGATTATAATTTTTGTACGAGCAAAGTAGGACGGCCATTTATTTAAGATTCAAAATCGCTAAATTAAATCTTAATTGATTATTATATTACATCCCCTACAAGGCTACAACTATCAAATTAAGTCTCATATGGCCTATACCTATATATTGATAATGCTAATTTGTTTGGTACAGTGTGTCTGAGAAAATAAAACTTCCCATATTCCCAACATTCACTCATTATTGAGTCTAAATTTTGAATGCGTTTTTTAATTTAAAATAAAAATATACATAATTATTGTTCGTAGTATACCAGCGTCCCGCCCCAGGCGTTTCTCGTGCCAAAAGTAATACAATCCAACGACGAACTAAAAGTGACCTGCGGTTAACATAGTATATTAACTGCTGGTTGTTATGTGTATTCTCGCGACAACAACGCACTTACACTAGGGTGACCATACGTCCTGTGTTTTACAGGATTGTCCTTTATTTCAGCGTTGTGTCCTGTTGTCCTGACAAACTTCTTTCAGGACGCTTTTTGTCCTGTTTTTTTGATCAAACAAAATGAATGAATTTGAAAACGAAACTTACGAAAGTAATGAATAATGATTATAATTGTAATCTTGTAATTGTCTGAATTTATCAGTATGGGGTATGACGATATGTCTACGAGTTATAGGAGCTTATCGGAGTTATCGGATTTACCGTTATCTGATTATGCTTTCGATTCTATCTATTTATATCACTGAAAATACGTTTTGTGAATACGGCGAATAGCGAATAGCTATTAGTTTGATTCCAACAATCGTTGAGTGTTGTCGACTTGTTGATAATCGTTAATATAATATTTTACAATTTTAGGNATCGGAAAAGTTGTATGTATTGTATGTAAATCAGTTTTTTCAATAAAAAACGGCGGTCGTTCAGATATTACACAATATGTTAAACAAAAGAAACATTTATTGGCCGTATCAAGCAGTTCTAAGCAGAACATTTTAAAAATGTTTCATGTACAGAATTTCATACATTTCTTTTAGAACATCCACAATTATTAAAACTAATTACTTCTTCAGAAAAATATGAAAAATCATATAGTGAAGACATCTCTGAACAATCGTCATCAAAATGAATTAATAAGTTTTTTTAAAAAAGTAAAGTACATGAATTTAATCTTATACAGTGTTATTAAAAATTATGTTTAAATTATAAAATATATATAGATATATATATTAAGTATTAATAAAAAAAAAAAAATTATTATTAATTTTGTCCTGTATTTTTTTTTTTTTAAATATGGTCACCCTAACTTACATTTATTTATTATTTGTTTTAAAATCATTTATATTTTTTATCTGCAGTACTTAAATAATATTATTTATTAACTTATTTACTAATTTTTATACTCGTATATATGCAATTTGTATAATATTCAGTATCTACCAATACTGTGCCAGGTTTCAGCAAAATTGTCAATACCTAACCGTTTAATAAATTATTAATTGGTCAAAGTTCATTTTTGTATACAAATATTCGTGAATTGTTATTTGTTAGACAATGAAAATAATTAAATCATTGTTTATTAATTTATCTCTAAGTAAACAAGTATTTGGTACTATCCGTTATTATTTTGTATACTATTTAATCTGAGAACGTTATCCTTAAGTTTATTACAATGCACTAATCCTTCGTTATCATCCACTGAAGTTAAGTTCCAACAAAGTTACGCGGATAACGTTACCATCAATTAATGTACGAAAAAAGGAGATGATTAGGATTTATTTTTTGAATACGGTTCGGCTATTCGTTTCGGAATTTTTTTATAACCCCGTCCCCCTTATCTCCCACGGTCGAAATAATTATTTCTATCGAGTTATTTCTTTTTAGATGTTTTTCTAATGTCGAGGGTAAAATGTGTTCCGCGCTTTTTACACCGTTTTACAACGTATTGTTATTTATAGTATTTGATACAATTTACGTCATAGATGTCATGATTTTTTTGGTATATTTGTATTTCGTAAATAAATTGTTAACTACTGAGAATTATTGATTGCGAATTAATTATTGGTTGGCTACTAAGTTTAATATAATCGATCGCCGAATGCGTATGAATACCTAGTGTTTGTTTAAATAATACTTTAATATTTAATATTTTTTTTACTTTCCATTTGTCGAAAGGAAAAAAATAATATATAATCTGATTTTCGATATATATTAAGTGTACTCTATTTCGAAAGCAACATGGCTAGTATGTTAGTGGTCGAAGAGACCCTAAAACAAATTCAAACAAGCGATGGAGTCATTGGTGTCATTGTAGCAAACTTTGATGGTTCGCAAGAGTTTTTTTATGTATACAATATAATATAGGTAACACTTAATGACTTATTTTCAGGAATCCCTATAAAGTCCACATTGGACAACTTCACTTCTGTTCAGTATTGTGGTTTGGTACAACAATTAATTGATAAATCGAAAATTGCAATTAAAAAAAATGATCCGTCTGACGATTTAATGTTCCTACGTTTACGTACCAAAAAACATGAGATTTTAATAGTACCGGGTAAAGTGCATTGAATAATTATTGTTTAAACTTAATACACTTCAATACATTTTTTTTTAATAATTTGTTAATAAATTAATTGATGGTAAATACTAGCTAAAATATTAATTCAAAATTAATTATTTAATATACAATTTCAATGCAATAATCTTTGATACCATTATTATTGAAACATTTAAGACTTTCCCTGAAAATATACATAGGTAAAAATAATAGATTTATTTAATAACTCCTCGAATAAATCAGTCTTAGAAACAATACAAAAATTAAATTAAAAAGAATTTATTGCATTATTTTAATTTTTATACACAGTAAATAAGTAGCCTTTCACTACAAATATAACTTTTTTTCAGTACATCACACGTATTTAAACATAACATAGTAGTATAATGCCAATATTCAAAGTTATAATATTTAATTATTAGAAACTAAAAAAATAATAATTATAATTATATTTTTCAGAAAAACAATATGTCATGATAATAGTTCATAATCCTACCGGTTCAAGACCACCATTGTAAAATGTACCGAAAAATAAATCTATGTAAATTTCCATTAAGGTCCATGCTTTCGACACTACTCATTAATCATTTTGGTTCCAAACTCAAGATATTTGTTTGTGCTGATCTGTTTTACAAATCCCTTCGATTGTGCCAATCCCTTTCAAAGTTAATTACGATTTACCTTGAGATCTATGTTCCCGATAGCGCCGAGTTGATGGCTTTTTGACAGGAGGCGAGGTTATATTTTCCCCTGTAATCTAAATATTAACTCATGAATAAGTTTCTAGTGTGTTCTAGTTTTTCGTACTAAAAAAATCCATGCAAAAGTACTTATAATTATGCTTTGGCATTACTTGAATTGTTTAAAAAGTAATTTGTATAGAATTTCAAATCCTCAACCAGTGTTTTAATAAAACTCTTTTTAGATTAGGTATTTACTTTACTTTGAAATTGGGTTATTCGATTTTAATATTATTTTGTCTTAATTTTTTTAAATGTATGTTAGTCAATTCATGAAATTTTGAATTCCGTATCGCCGATTAATATTCTTAGGTCCGAAAGCCCTATGTTTATAGGGCTTTCGTTTGTGCTGAAAATCCCATAACTTTTGCTCAATTACTTCCGAAATTATTCGTGATTTACTTTAAGATCTATGTATCCGGCCACATTAATTTAAAATGTTGGGTCCAAATCCAGGGCTTTTATTAGTAAACTTTTTGTACTAAAAATAACTCTAAAACCTACCATATATCATTAGCAAAATACACATACTTAAAAAATATTTTATTTTTAGATTCTAAACGTAGCGAGACATGGTTTTACAATGATATATGATTTTTTCTCCTTGTCTGTAAACACATTATCTACAAAAAATCTTGCTTCAATTAGAAAATTACATGAAATTATTTTTGTTGCATTATTGATATTGTTTTTGTATTAAAAATGTTATTTTTTGATTTTTTTTTTACGAGGTTTTAATAATAATTGGTAAAAAAAACGGAAAATAGCATAAAAAAAAGCGGACAAATAGGCAAGTCGTGGCATTATTAACTGTGTAATAACCCAATTCATTGTTTTAAATTTTCACGATTTGTGTTTTCTACAGATCTTTTGTCTTTCATCTATTAGTGTCTATTAATATTATTAAACATTTATTATTGTATATGTATATATGAGTATATTAATAGGCATTCGTCATTTTCAGTTTTTTTTTAGTTTTTTCGAAAGTAGTATGTGAATAAAATTATTCGACCAAACAAAATTTAACGAGAGGTTCATTATAAGTTGAACGTAGTGGTAAAAAAAAAATGTTAAGTGTAGTAATGTATTAGTTTTTTTTATTAATATAGAATTTTGAAGAAAATCATAAAAATTACGACATTTCAAATCATGTAACCAAATATCGTCCAGAATCGTTTTTCATTAGCCATGGTTTATAGTTACTTACAATTAAAAATTTAATCACTTTATGTAACTTACTTTCCCAACTTCCCACCAACAACAAAGGTGCACTTGTGCCATTATCAGCTACTTTTAATTAATAATAGTTGCCAAATAGATTTTAATTTATCAAAATATATATATTTACAAATAATAACTACTACTATTTTTCGAAGAACACTATGCATGTAAATAATACTATCAGGTCTTCGTTATTTGTCTTTTTCAACACATAACTAATTGCTAAATAAATATATATATTAAAAAAGATCCCATACTGTTGATGGGTGCGCCACTCTTGTAGATGGGAAATTAAGAAGGTAGGACACTTAAAGCTATTTAATTTTGAATAGGGACGAATGGACGTGGCCACTTAGACGTTGTCGTTTGAACGTTGGGATAATTTGTTGGAAATCAAAAACAAGTTTAAAAAAATTTAAAAAGATAAAATATTGTAATTAAAAATGCATGTACATAATATAATAATAACTATATATTAATTAAGAGAAATATTTTGAGTGAAAAATAAAAATTTAATATAAATTTTCATGTAAAAATTTAATTTCAATTTTAATTGTTTATTTTTGAATTATAAAGCCAATTATGTACACCTTCATAATAAAACAAATTTGCTCGTAGCTAACATTGTCGTTATACATTACGACGCACTATAGGCAGTACCTATTAATCTTTACGACCGCTTATACAGTTATACTTTACTTTTATAATATTTTTCTTTTTAAACAATTTTTTTTTTCGTAATTTTTGGCGTATTTTAATAAATATAAATATCACTTTTTTTTTTTATTTTGACGTCCAAATGGACACATAAAAACGGCCACTTCCATTTGTCCTAGATTAATTTAATTTATAATAATTGTAGCATCAACATCTCATTGCTAACGAAAAATAATTCTAAGCGGAGTTCGTTTACAAATGACGTGAATGCCGTGTAATATTTACGATTTACATAAAATTTTATTAAATGAATAATAAAAAAAACTAATACAATACTCTCAACTTTTTTACCTCTTAGTTCAACGTATAATGGTGTTAAACTCTCAAACGTGTTTATTTCATTCACGTAGTACCTACCAAATAAAAACTGAAGAAAATTCCAAAATTGACAAATGCCCAATAATATTTATAATAATAATTATAATAGCTATTAATAGCTAAAAAAATCCAATAAAAATATTTTGAACAATTTTTAGGCCTCTTCATTTATTTTTAACAAAACTACGACAAAAAACAAAATTGTAAACCTCGAACCGTTACTTACGTAAACTTTTAAGTTATATATTTTTAGGTTGCTTAGTCACCGACTAGATTTAAAATAGAATACAAAAGGTCTCCTGACATTTTTTAACTAAAGCGAGATTTCTGGTGAAAAACATAAATCGTATACATTTAAAATAATGAATTCAGTATTAACGTGACGTTCGCGGCTTGCCTATTTGTCCGTTTTTTGTGTACACTTTTTTGGTTTTTCCCGATCATTATGAAAACCCCTTAGAGAACAGATAAATAATCTCTCTAATGTACCAACTAAATCAATAATTTAATAATAACAATCTCTTGTAATTTTTTAATTGAAGCAATATTACTGGTAAAAAATTTGTTTACAGACGGGAAAAAGAGCACACTTCATAGTAAGTTCAAATATCTCTCTCGCAAAATGCGGAATCCAAAAAAAAAAAAAATTATAAAATCGTTTTAAAATGTGTGTTTTTTACTCAATGTTCGGTAATTTTGATAGGGATTTGCATCACGAAGTACAATCGACCGGTTATTGTCCAAACTCGATATTAAATATTTGTTATTACCATGTCCCCGGCACCGGCCAAGGTAAATCACGAATAACTTCGGAATGCACGAACGATAGATTTGCAGCTTAAAACAGTTCAAACGGATACAAAGATCACGAGTTTGAATTCAAAATGTTATTTGAACGGTCCAAGGGACACGGACCTTAAGGTAAATCGTGAATAACTTCAGAAGGGATTGGATACACGCAAAGAGATTTGCTATACAAACCATCATAAACAAAAGCCCCGGGTTTGAAACGGGTGATGCCGCGGGGACATGGACCTCGCACTAACAGATAGATGCGAATAACAACTTCGTTTTATACTATTCATACTATTTAGAGATTAGTATGTATAATATAGTTTATATAGTTCATAAGTATATGCAATATCTATGTAAACTAATGTATGTACTACATTTAAAAATTAAAATTTTTATACAAAATTTAAGACATTGTACATCAACTTTATGCAAATGGTTTTAAACCACATTGTAATTACAAGGTAATAATTATTGACATATTTTATTATACTTTGTAATGAAATAAATAACACAATCAGTAAACGAAAAATAGTTTTATGTCAAGTCTCTACGGTCCATACGCGTTATGCATTCATATCGAAGTTATATAGATGGGTATTCGTAATTGTCAATAATCAAATTATCTGCTTGAACAATCGGCCAATAGTTTTTTTGTACATTAGATTACCTGAAAAAACTAAAATATAATATCTGAAATATATTTGATCGATTTTCGTAAAATTAAAAATGTTTAAAGAAACTGAACGTATTTTAGGAAACCATTATTACTTATTGCCCCTACAAGAACTTGATGATTATCGGGGCTATGTCATCATAAACCTACATATTTTGTATAAAATTATATATGAAACTTTCAGAAGAAATTCTCTAAATGATAGTGAAAACCTAATCAAAATCCGTTTAAAAGAACTGTGCGCACTGTCAGACGTGGATAGCGACTTTATTTTAAACTATCTAGAGATCATAATATTATAAATTTATGTAGTTAACATGCCTGCGCAATTAAATACCATTGTATTTATTCCATGAAACTTTTGAGAAACATGTACATTGCATAGTGTACCTGCAATAAGAGATGATTTTTTAAGTTTAAAAATATAATAAGTATAAGTGTACGTCATAGGTGGGGCCGGATTTAGGACAGCATGTCTAGGTATTTACATTCTATACTGCATTCACAAGAACAACTGAAAACGAATTGCATGGACTTTGCATATAGTTATATCAACAGTCAAGAGATGAACAAGATATTTGTGTCTATGATTCTTTCAGCAACCGTATTTCGTGCTAATGAAATGTTTTAGAAAACTTTTAGATTTCCGGGACAAATAATTTCCAGCACTTTTAATCGAACACGTTTTTATCAAATTACATTCAGCGAACGGTTTCGAATGTTTGGCAATTAACTCTGACAACACGTAATTAACCTTTACTGCAGCTTCATTTTCTTGTGCTATTTTAGTGAACATTAGTTGCTGTTGTTTATATACCGACTTAAACTCTTTCAGTTCTGCTTGTCCAGTATCCCTTCATACTGGCCGTATTTTTACTTGTGTTGTTCATAATGTCGCTTGATATTGTATACCTTTGGAACACTAATAACACTTTTACACACTAAGTAAATTATTTTATGATTGATTTCACTGCAAAAACATTGTAATATAATAATATTACATAATATTTTAATTAGGTTTACCATTATGATAAATAGGTTCTCTGCGACTAAT